AGTTTTCTATGTAAGGAAAACCAGTTGATTGCATCGACGCATTGACTCGAAAGCAATCCGTCACACCAAGCATTCATGTAGCAACGGCGGAGAGGATAAACTCCCTTTTAATAGGAAGAAAACCTCCAGCACACCCAGATTCAGTGTAAGCGGCCATCTGCCGAGGTTGACTGGGGTTCAAGGAGGCAGAAGCAGACATACAGAGAGAAGCAGTTGAATCTTCAGGTTTTTCAATTTTTATTTAATGTAGAAATTATTAATTTAAAAACTGTTTCCCCATAATTTTAGTGGATGTATAATGATCAAAGCATCCTGTATTTCTTTTTCATTTATAATGCATTATCCTGGCTTTTTAGTAAATGTATAAGGGATATATATATATATATATATATATATATATATATATATATATATATATATATATATATATATATATATATATATATATATATATATATATATATATATATATATATATATATATATATATATATATATATATATATATATATATATATATATATATATATATATCCCCCAGGTTATGACTAGATAGTACTTTTTGCAGTGTTAAAATAACACCTAAGTTAGATTTAACACCAATCCAAGTGCATTTGTTCCCGCTCTGGATTAATGTTAAATTCTTCTCTTTCCATATTGTATAGCTGACTCCTGCTGTTCTTGTAATATATCCGAGTCAATGTGCTTTGACACTGTGGAATTTATTGTGCTGCAATTGAACTTCTCCAACTTTTTGAAAACCTAATAATTCAGATATTTTATTTATTTTCTATTTTTGCACACAGTTTATGCCCCTTCCTATAAGCCCTACTGCAGCATCTTTACAGAGTCAAATAGTGTTACTCACCTTAGTTTGTTTTTTCCCAACCTTAGATTTTTTTTTTTTTCATTTGTATTTCAGAACCCCCCACCATGAACTGAAAAGCTTTTCCGATCCATTTGAGTCTCTAATTTCACTTTTACAGGCAACCGCGGTTGGGACAGTGTGAGTCAGAAATGTGGGAGACTTGGTAAGAGGGGTTTATTTCAACTAACCAGATAATACCGTCTCAAAATGTCACTCAGCACTTTGTTGTGATGAGGAAAGAGGCTGCATCCATTAAATGAGTCATGAGCATGGAGGACAGGTCAGTCTGTGGGAGGAGGACAGACGCCAAGGTTCTAAATCTGGATTTTTTTGTTTTTTAGAATGGCATGGTTTGGACATTGTTAGACCTATTTAATACTTAATCATATATACAAACCTCTTGCTTGGAGCAGTCAGTATATTTTTAGCCATTTCAGTTTTGGAAGGAACAGTTTTTCTTTCTTTCTCATACTCTTAAACAATTTGTTAAAAATCTGATAAATTGCAGATGCATTCCACTTTTCCAGCTGGATATTTCTTGTCCTTTAGCAGAGCCAAGAGGAAGACATATGAGTTAAAAATAAAATAATCTGCTGTGTTTCTCCATGTCCACACTTATTCACTGTGAAAATATCATATTTTAGTTTCACTCGGATTTGTTTGACAAGAGATTTTTTATACTCACTTGAATGCCAAGGCTGGAATCATGCTTAACAGTCTGGCTTGTTCTGGATGTACTATTCAGACAAAAGGTATTCTGTTCCAAACATTCCTCTTATTTAAATTTTTTTACATTGATTTTTTATATGTCACAAACAGAATAAATAAAACTTGCCATAAGGGGTCAAAAACACGGTAAAATAGAGATAATGTAAAGAACCGTTCCTTTTATCTACACCCCTAGCCACCATGCTACCATATCGTTTGATTTTATCTGGCAGATGCTGCACCTCTTGTATCTTCTTTTTATTTTTGAAAGAATCTTATCTATGTTTCAGCTCTTTAAAGTCATTGCACGAAGATTTCTTCCCAGCAAAAACAAAAACAAAAGTGATCCATGTCACTTAAGCTGGAAGCGTCTCAGTTTTCAGTCATGGTAAACGAAGCATCCAGTATATATATATATATATATATATATATATATATATATATATATATATATATATATATATATATATATATATATATATATATATATATATATATATATATATATATATATATATAAATTATTATTTTTTCTCTCTAATAACTTTGGTGTTAAGAACTACCATCAGTGTTTAGGTTGTTTTTTTGTTTGGTTTGGTTTCAACCTGGAGATTTTCGGAGCTTGAATGACATCTTCATTTGATATTTTTAGACGATGACTAGAAGGCTTCAAAACCTTCATTTTTCTGTTTTTAGCCATTCCCATGTGAAGTCCAGATTTGAGAACCATGGCTATTTAAACTTATTGCGACTCAGACATTTTCCCCAATGATTGGGTTGGGACGAGAAGTCATGATTCCTTTAAGGTGTGAAGGCCCTGAAGTAGCTAAGCAGTCTGAGGCCATCATGTTCAAATGTCACTATGATTGTACAACTAATCTTGTTGGAATGTTAAATTTTGTTTAGCTAATATCAAGATAATTTTGGCTAATATGAGATGAAATTTTGTTTTTGTTTTGGTTAGAAACAGTTCTAGCCTTGGGGACTCTCCCATGGATGCGGTTTTTGCCCTGTTTCTTTCTTATTGTTGAATTGTAAACAATGACCTTAACCGAAGTAAGTGAGGCCTGTAGTGCCTCTTAGGTTGTTTCTTGGCTCTTTCGTGGACTTTTGGATGAATTTTTTATCTGCTCTTGGTGTAATTTTGGTGCACCTCTGGGTACCTTGTGTATTCTTATCACCATTTGTAACTATCCCTCTCAGATGACAAGTACAAGTGTTGCCTTTTGAGATCATTTAGCGTTCTTTATGTTGTTCACTTCAGGTTCCCTAAAATTGATGGCTCCTGAAATCAAAACTGATTTTTGTATTTAGTATTTAGTATGACAAAAAGCTAATAGAAAACTTCATGGCAAAGCATAAAATCAGTTAACGTGCATCGAAAGCATGTAATTTACATTCACTTTAAGTTTGTTTATGCAGAAATTTCTCCATAAGTTTATTCCTTTATATTTTAAACTTATTAGACAAAAAGAAGCAGTGACGTTTGTCACGGACAAGTTTGGGTCACGGACCACAGAACCAGGCGCTGTGTCGCATACAAACATCCTCTATGTTACCAGACAGGAGCAAATATCTATCAATAACGGAATAAGGAACATAAAATTTTATTATTAAGTGGATGTTTGTAAAGTGTACTCCTGATTTTATACTTGAGCCAAGCAGCCATGTGCGTGTTAACTAATGCTTTGTAGTGGAATTTCTAAATGTGAAATATGAGTTGCTTATTTCAACAGCTCTATGCATTGCCTTTACAAATTGCTCACATGATTTAATCCTTTTCACATTCTGACACATTTTCACTATTCACTTAAATTGGTTTTATTTCTTTTTTTGTGTGTTCACTAGAGTTAACTAAAATAAAAGAAGGGCACAATTTACGTTTATTTGTGAAAGTAAAATAATTAAATTTAATCTGTGTTTAGTCTAAGAATCAGCCAAGAGGCCATTGATAGCTCTAGAGGTGATGTTCAGGAAGGGAAATCTTTTGACCGATAAACAATTTAATGATATAAAACGAACTTTACCTTTACGTAAGTGTGGCAAGAAGAGCTATGCCCTAACTGTGTTTGGATTGGAGGTTTTTAGTGAAACACGTGTTTTCCTCCAATCATCTAAGACAGAGTGTACAGCAAAGTGTTCCTCTCTATATGCTAAACATTGCCTTGCTAAATTTGCACTGCTCTCCTAATGAAATAGATCACTTTCTCACCACTGAACTCTGTTTTTCCAAAAGGTCAGAATAGGAAGAACTGCATACGCAGTCATATGAGCTGTCATTTCTGAACAGACTAGTTCACCTTTAAAAAGACTTCATAGTAACACTGAAGCAAATGCAGAGAAAAGACCAGATCATGCCTGAAAACTCCAGGTGATTCATCTGTGTATAAAACCCTGTCATGCGCCAACTCATTCGTGACATCTGTGGTTTGGCATCATTACGATCTAAACTGTCTGATAACTCTTTTATATGTTCAGAGAAAATCTGTCTCCAGGCAACATTTCAGATGTTTTCCAAAACACTGTGTTTTATGTTTGTTTGGAGTTTGGGCATCGAAGAAGGGGGGACCAACTCACAGCTAGCGCAACTTCACATGTACTCCTATAGCAGATCGTTTTGCAAGTACCTTGAGATTATCGGATAAGATAAGAATGTTACCCTTTTTTTCCCCTTTCATCTGTTTCAGATCTTATTTTCCATCACCTTCTTCCCTCACTACCTGCCCTTTAAAAGATCTACTGTTTCGGATCCAACCAGCAGTCTGGTTGCATGCAAAATAGTACAGAGGTATTCAAATGCACTAATTTCCCATGGGACAACCAGCTTATTTCAATTATATATTATTAAACAAGATTTTAAACTGCTTTAAAATTGCTTGTGTGACATGAAAGATCAAAGTCGTGTGAAACCTTTGAAGAAGAGCTTTTGCAGGTATACTAAATTCAGGTGCTGGTTGCTCGACACATGCAACCGTTTATGTTTGCCTTGCAAAGGTCTGCACCCCTCCTTAGAGCTTCACTATCTTGTGGACTGCTGGTAAAGCTAGAATGTTTTGTTCTGGCAGAGCGAGCTATGTCCTATCAGTAGATGACTGGCAAAGATCTTGAGAGAGGGAAAGTAGAGACTAAGACTTGTCTTCATCAAACCTGTTGATAAATTTGCCTTCAGGTTGATCCTCAGCACCGACCGGCTCGAAACTTTTTTGTAGTGGCCAAAACAAAGAAAATCATCTGTTGGCAAATGTTTAAGGAATGCAGACACGTTGAGGCATAATCGCAGATGAAAGTGAATGAGTTTAGACAGTAGAGAACAGAATAGAAATGTTTGATGTCTAAATATCTGTAGTTGTATTATTGTTTAATAGGAGTTCAATTAATTTATCATTTTGCTTAATTGGAATGTTTTTTTTTTCTGTGGAAACAGTGGCTGATTGGGGAACGAGACAGTCACTGCGGGGACTATATGCTCACGTACCCTCGGGAAGCATGTGTGTGGCTCCGATGGGCGGACCTACGAGACAAACTGTGAGCTACAGAGGGCCCGCTGCAAAGATAAAACACTGACAATGGCACATCGAGGAAGGTGTCGAGGTGAGAACTTCACAACGTACCTGGGCTGGGCTTTTTTGTTCTTTATTTCTGCAAATAAGGAACAAAAAATGTTAAAAACTCATCTTGCCCATCAATACAAAACCGCTGAAACTAAATTTGAAGATAACTTTAAATTGGTACTTTGTACTATTTAGTCCCAGGTAAAAATATGTAAAAGTCAGTCTATAGAAGATGACTAAGTTGTAGAAATCCAAACCTGAACAATTGGCATAATCTTTTTATTCAATATGTATGTAAAATAAATACATATGTATTGTTTACACCTCTTGTTGTTTTTTTTATGTTTTTATATACAAAAGTTGAAAAAAAATATATAAAAAAGGAAATAACTCAGTAGATGAAATGCCAAAAGCAACATTAAAAGAATATAGCGTTCCTATCAAATACTCCCAAACAGACAATGCAAATGAAAATGTATAGAAAATTCTCCACATAAACTCAAGATTTACCTGTAGCTGTCACAAAAACTAAACTGTATATTTTAAACTGTATCTTAAAAGTTTATGTGCATAAAACCATAAATGGTTTGTTTGTCTTTCAGTGAAGTTTCTGTTGCCGGCGGCTCCAGCGCCTACCTCCCCGTCTGACGGGAGAGACCCAGAGTCTAAAGGTAAGGATTGAGAAACCTCAGACCTTGGCTACTGTTATATTTTACCCCCATGTAGGGGAAAGGTTTATTTGGAGGAATGATGTTTTACTGAAACCCAGAGGTAGTTGGATATAAACCTTACAGAACCACAAAGAAATGTTTTAATGAGTCAAAGCTCCGTTTATTATAGTTTGTCAAACCACGCTCTATGATACTGCTTTATTCAAAAATAACTCGAACATCTCAGGAATTTTTAGAAAATAACATTTGTGCTAAGAAAAGTCCCTTTTCAATTTAGCAACAGAAAACCCATCAACAGAATAGTTTGACAGGTGATAATCTAATGTTACACTCGAATCTGGATGCCAGCCCCTCTCAACAACAACAACAGAGACTGATAGATTCAGATTCATTTATTCAGAGCTGGACCTTGGCATTTTCAATGTATTTTTTTTGTGTTGTGTTGAAGTAATTGCAACTAGTCTGATTAATCGTTACCTATTGTAGATTAATGGTACACAGTCTCTAAAATATGCAATTTGAAAAAACGACCTACGTTCAGCAGTAATTAAAACTTAAAGCTGAAGTCTGCAAGTTTTTAAAAATCACTTTTTTGTCATATTGGCTAAAACTGTCCCGCAGATGCTGTGAGAGGGGTGGGGCTTGGAGGTGGGGCATGAGTGAAGCAGAGAGGGTGGGGGAGTGGCGTGAAACCTGTTTTTCTTCAAATTTTCAGTCGAAGTCTGCTCTCTCCTCAATGTTACAGACTGCAGCTTTAACTCTAAAAAAAATACAAAACATTTTCTACTTTAGTTAAAAATTCTTCATTTCTTTATACACTGGTATACAGTTGTGCTTGAAAGTTTACATAACCTCCCATAAAAAATATAAGAAATTCACACTAGTCATCCAAATAACACAAAACTGCAAAAAGTAATAATAACTTGAAATACATTAAAGGATAACATAGGAAAAATTGAAAAACACAAACTGACCCAGAAAAGTATAGCTCTTCTGCAAATATTTGAACACGTGTCTATCAGCTAGAATTATTATGCTAAATTAGATGCACCTGTTTGAGGTCATTATCTGCATAAGGACACCTGTCCACTCCATACAATTGGTAAGAATCCGAGGCCCAATCCCAAACCAGCCCCTAAGCACTAACCCTCCATTTGCACGTTCCCGAGGAGCGTCCGCCACATTATGTGCCGTCCCAAACCATGAGTGTCCATAGTAGGTCTAACACACTTGATGGTTAGCTACCAGCATATTGTTTGTAACTAATTTATTGTACCACTGGGTGGGGCTACATCTTACACACTGTCCCTCAAAAGAGAAAAACAACAAATCAAACAAAACATTAACAATGGATAGAAAATTGAGGAAGCAGCAATGCAGGCATTTCAACTAATTTCAAGGCATGGCTGCTGAATGCACAAATGAATCTGCAAACACATGCATCTATTAGTGATGCAACACTATATTGCATGGAGCCCCAGTCTGAGGGAGATTGACAGTCATATTTAGCTTCTTCCATTTTCTAATGATTGCTGGACATTTTTTCACCAAGTTCTTCAATTTCGCTGTAGCCGCTTCCAGCCTTAAAGAGGTGTACAATTTTGTTTCTAGTGTCTTTGGACAGCTCCTTGGTCTTGGCGATGTTAGTTGTTGGGCTGACTCCCAAACCGCTCCTTAACCACAAACCCTTAACTATCAAGAGTCACTCTCAATAAAGTCAAACTCACAGCTGTGGAAGGTGCCTGGATTGTATGTGGGGAGTATAAACATGAATTAGATGGCCTCCTTCCTCCAACGAAAGGGAAAGCAGTCATTCCTATAGCAACACAGTGAGTTGCTATTTCAAAGAGGACTCCCAGTTAATGGAGTTCTTTTTTATATTTTTTCAAACTTTTAAATTTTCTTTAATTGCGACACAGATGTAGCAAAGCAGTGGAAGTTACATTCGGGGGGACAAGCTAGTTGCTTGACTGCGATGCCCTGTTCCTCACATAATGCCAAAACAATCTTCACTTGTTATCCTTCCAATTAAATAGTCTTAACCAGTTAAAAGATGAGCTGATGTCATATGGATGTTCGTGCATTGCCACAGAAGTAGAATGTAGATCCATATATGGTCTTTGCTTGTTTTAAACTCAGATGGAGGTAAAAATGTGTAAGGCTGTGAAGTTTGTCCCATTTCAGCTACTATGATGAAAAATAGGAATGCAAGACGGCGGTACACACTGTGTCATCTTCCACTGGGTGTACCGCCCTCTATCTACTTATAAACAACAAATTCTAAGCTAGGAGAAGGCTTTCAGTTCTTATGTGATGTTATTAGTCTGCTTTTAAAAAATGCCTTAAAAAAAGGCACTCGATTACAAGACAAAGTCCAACTGATCTGAGTTACAGTGGTCAGCCGAAACAGGGATGTCTGCAGCACCAAACCAACAACAGCGTTGATGTATTTGCATAAGCAGTGTTTGAGACCATACTGCCTCTGTCACTGTGTTACAGATGCAGGCCAGTCAAAGTGCCTTGTTGAGAGGAACCAGGCTCTGGAGCAGTCCAGGAGGCCTCAGGAGTCCACGTTTATCCCAGAATGCAATGAGGATGGAACGTTTGCCCAGGTGTGTGAGTCTCATACCATTCATACATTTTTCCTTCCTCTTAAACATTTCATTCTTCATCTTTTTTTATGTCATCATCTTCATATTATCAAGGAGTTTGTTTATTGATCTCATGTTCTAACCGTACAGTAAATGCAATTCTAATATAGAATCTATTTGTATCTGCATATGTTTGTCTTGCTTGTGCAGGTCCAGTGCCACACTCTGACAGGTTATTGCTGGTGTGTCACCACTGACGGCAAGCCAGTGAGCGGTTCCTCTGTGCATAACAGGAGGCCTGTTTGTTCAGGTACTTTGAATGGGTGGGGCGTTCTAGTATCAGCTATTTTTTGAAGGAAATGTGCGTTGGTGTTCCAGGTTCATCCTAAAATCCTTATCATTTAACATCTGAATTGATCTTTATCAATTTGATCTTCAAAAAAGCAGTGAGGCCTTGGATTTTATTAATTTTGGACACAAAGAATTTGGCTACATTAGCATTGGTGGTACAGCACATGAGCAATACTGCTTTTGAACTGAGGCGCAACTGAAACATTTGGCCATGAGCAGCTGATATCACTATTTTATAATATTTTACACTATGCAGTTGCTTTGACTGCACTAATGAAAGTCTAATGATGCTGGACTGTTGAATTCTCTGAGAGGCTAACGATTAAACCCTAACTAGGTCTCCAATTCAATCGGCAAACTCCTCTATCATTTGTCTAGGATTTGATTGGGTTGATATTTTTTATATTTAGAAAGAGAAAAAAGGGTGTATGAAAAAAAAAGAAGATACCAAAGACCCTGAGGTCAACAGCTGTACCCTCAAGAGTTAAATCTTTTTTTGCTAGATGCTTAATTTATACTTACAACATTGGACACAACAGGACAAAGTCTTGGCAAAACCAATATATCACTGTAAAATTAAATCAATCTTTACAATGCAGACACACACACTGTACAAAACAAGGCTCAGCAAAAACATGCACAAAAGAGGCAGATATGGATGATCAAGACAACGTGTTTCGCTTCCTTACACAATTACACAGATTTGCTCTATTTATTGTTGTTCTTTACAGAAGTAGTTTCCTTGCTGATCTTATAGCAAAGATCTTTGCACGGTCAATGTTCTGGTAAATTAATGATTAGCCCAGGTCTTCATTTTTTTACTGTTTCTTTTAACCCGGAGAATGAAATGGATAATTACGAAAACCATTTTGTTACATTTTCAACTTGATTTTTAAAAATAATCTGTCTTGTTGATGAAGCCTTTGAACCAGTTCCCAGACAACACTCTAGTAAATGTGTTGTACAGCAGGTGCAGTTCAACAAAAAATGCTAATGGCTGGAACATGCAGGGGCCTCTCCACTCCTTTCCTCTAAATGCTTTCAGCAGGACGGAGCAGGACTCTTTGCACTCATCCTACATGGGAACACTTTATGATAATAGTTTCCTCCATCCAGGGATCATTGCCAGGATTGGGTTGTAGAGCCACTAGAACGAGTGTCAGGTGGAAGTGTTCACATCTCCTTTTGAAGTCGTTTAAACATACTTATGGGTAATAAAAGAAGAGATTTGATAACATTTAACACAGGAAAGCTTAGAATACAGCTTCTATCAGAACATTAAAAAAGACAGGATCAATTCTCTAAATGGAGTCTTAACAGATTTTACTTTTGTGTTCATCTTACTAGTAAATAGTGGTGCAAGATGAAACCACGTTAGGTTTCTGAATACAAAGTCACCAACCTTTTCCACATAAAAAAAAATCTCTAAGTTTTATTTTTTAAATCCAATTATACCATTCAAGCTTTGGTTAAGATTTACCTCTTAAACAATTCCCCTCTTTCTTGATCTGAAAATATTCTTACTCAACTTCTGCCTTTTCAAACCCTCTTATCAAAGTCCAGTGCTTGCAACCATCTAAACCCCTCTATCTGGGTGCATTTCTCAGGAATTCTGTACCTGCTGGGAAAAAAAGGGTTAGGGCACATTTTAAACAAATGCAATGAAGGATGATACTTTGCCTGTTGGTCCTGGAAGAACAATGTTAACATTTAAGGACTGTTCCAAACAGAGCCTGAAAAACAAGCATATTTAAGCAAAACAACCTCAGGTGTGCAGGTGGCGCAGTGGTTGGCAATCATAACCCATCTACGGAGGCCTTAAGGCTGATTTATTCTCAGAAACCAGGTCGTCTGCTTGTGTGTCGCAGTTAACACAAATATGCCCCCGCCCCTTCCGAAGATACTCTGGTGCGCCTCTCCAAAATTGTAGGTGACCGCAGACAGTGCCGTAGACAGGAGGCCTCTGATTGGTTAAATCTACATCTGCTCTACACTATCCGTATTTCCTGTTCGGTACCTTACTGGCTTGTTTTGTTTGTATGACCGCCATTGTGGAAGTCGACTCATGAAGTTGGCCCAGCTTGAAGAGCAAGGTGCGCGAGAACGCTGGGACCCTTTTTCCACCTGGATCCCGGCTATTTTTCCCTCCTCAGTTGTCGCACAAACTTGACCCTTGCATTTTTCCTCTTCCTTACCGCCTTGGCCGTATCCAGATGCACAGATTGATTGTCCTTCATGCGTTGGTGTGTGGAATAACACAGTGCAGACCACGCTTCAATATTGGGCATAAATCAAAAATATCTGCGTCATACCTGCTACAAGTTCACTCTGACACACTGCTGCTGGAGTATAACCAGCCCTTTAGTCCTCGACGCAGCCGACCTGGGTTAGAATCCGCACAGAAAAAGAGGCTTGTCTCTCCCCCTCTCTCATTCCCCTTTTCTGTCAGCCTACTGTCAAAAAATGAGCCACTACTTACGTAAAAACTCAAACAAAAAAAAACTCCTGATTCTCCTGAACTAGGCCTTCAAATGATCAGGCCTGCACACTGACAAATTCATTGTCACTATCTACAAGCAGGGCAAAGTAGGTGACTTCTCTGGTTTGCTAAGAAAAGGAATTGAACTGGAATTGTTTGTCAATTAGTCAAGAGTGAATCATTACATTCAAGAGAATCAGAAGAATTTAGTAGGTCATGAAAAGAAAGCGAGGATCAGATGCATAATGAAAGATGAGTGTTAGTAATGATTAGAGGGGCAAATTAATACGATTTTGCTCAGGCAGTTTCCCAACGGCATTATATACACAGATAAAAATAAATTCCTGCAAATTGGCAGGAGCAGTTCACAACTGAGCTACAACAGTTACCCAACTCTAATTATTAGCTCTGACATGAGGTGAACCACAAAATGGCATATATTTTGTCGTTTTCTGTTTTGTCACATTACAATAAAAAAAATGAGTGTGATATGTGAGTTGACAAACTAATGGCATGAAGTTGAAGGGAAATGTTACAAATAGGAAAAAGTCCTAACTAATAAAATTCTAAAACATGTGGCATGGATCAGCCCTGTCTAACCTGATACCCTAGAAAATTCTGAGCAGCTAATTGGCATCAGAAGGCACCATCTTAAATATAAATTGAGTCCACCTGTGTGTAATATAATCTTGGGCTACATACAGCTTTTTGGTTCGATGTGAGTTAGACAACAAATTGCATCGCAGAGACCACAGAACAAAGCAGAAAGATCAAGGAAGTTTAAAGAGCAGTTCTGTTGTAAAACCAAAAATATCAATCATATTTTTGATGGCAGTGTGGCAGTATCATGCTGTGGAGACGACTTTTAAAAAATCCTCTTAATGCTGGTTCACACAGCAAGATAATTAGTGTGATTTCTGCCCCCATCCATCCCTGCCTATGATTACAAGGATTCCCTGATGATCATATGAGATATTTCAGCCATGTTTGGTGTGTTAGAAGTGACTTGTCTGCTCAGAAGGAAGTCCTGACCTCTTTGGATTATGCAGCTTAATGATGTGATGAGTAGCCTATCACAAAGCAGTTGAATGGTGAAGGAAACCAAACCAACAAGTCACCACTGTATTCTCTCCTTTAAGCGACAACCTTTTCTTTTTGTAATGTTTATTGCTGTTAATCTTGGTCCACAAATTGCTGCCTCCTCCATTTGGCCATTTTTATTTACTCTAAACTCATGTTCGATATTTAGAGGTTTTGTGAGATATTCCATCTGATCTGAACTTTCCTGAATTAAACTTTAGTTTGTGTGGTGTGCTGGCTTGCTGTAGGGTTCCACACCTTTTGTCGGTTATGTTTTCAATATCACCTGAGAGTTTTAAAATCTTGCCGTATGAACCAGGCATTAAAAGCTGCAAAAGGACTTCAGACTCAGGAACGGCTAACGAAGTCCAGATCAAAATCCAACTCAGAAGTGTCTTCAAACGATTTTAACAAATTATTTCCAGTTTCTACATCTGAAATATGAGTAGAGATTACCAAAAAAGATTTGACACCAGTGAAAAGTGTGCCTCAGGACACTGACTCAAAGATGCCCAATACAAACACATACCTACTCTTTTCATACTTAATTTGGTATTTTGAAGTATAAACATTTTGAAATATATCAATTTCCTTCCATCGGACAGTTCTGTACTACTTTCTGTTTGTCTTTTGTATAAAATCCCAACAATTTGTTTTAAAGTTTTTTGTCATAGCTGGACAAATTGGGAAAAGGTTCAAGGGCTGCAGATTAATTTGCAAGATCCTTTTCAGCCCTGTAGGCCCTCGATGACATAAACCACTGCAGACATAGTTCTACTGTAGTGATAGACATCTGAGTGGAAAAAAATAAAGAAAAACACATATTCTCTGCTGTTCACTGGAGACATTATTCCATCTTCTGGTTTAAAAAAAATCTTAAACAAAAACTGATTCGTATTGTGCAATGATGCCTTCATCCCCTCCCTCGCTTCTGCCTTGCATAAGGTCCAATATCTTCATGGTTTCTTGCAAAGGTATGTATGGTGCTGAAACCAGAATCTGGTTGCTGTTAAACTGATCTATAGGCCTCTCTGTCATGCTGGACTCAAACTTTAAATGATGACCCAAATGAATCATCTTGCATACATTTGCAGGAAACTTCAGTGAAAATATGGGAACTCATGCTGGAACGCGTGGATTCTCAGTTAGTAAGTTTTCTTCCAGTTGCTTTCACTCAGCACTCTCCACTTAGCCCTTCTTTTGTAATTGGTTGGGTCAATTGATTACTTTGTCTCTGCAAACAACCATGCATGAAACTGACTATCTGCATGCAATGGAAAAATTCTTTGAAATCAGAATTGTGTAATTTTGTTTTTAATTTTCCAGTAAAATGGCTATTTCAATTAGTAAGGCATAGGTATCAGGCCAGTGAAATAGGTGCAATGTTACAGTGGGGGAGGGGGCTCCAGTCAAGTACTAAGATTCTTCTACAGCAAGACATCGGACAGTATCTGTGACCAGTAGTGTTTCTGTTGGTGAATATCCCGTATTTGCCAACAAGCTTAGTTAGAAATATTGAAAAGAAACCTGAATCAAGTTGAAATATTTTAAGGTGAAGCTCATTTGTTGCTCCCGCTGTCTGTTTTAAGCTTTGCTCTTTGTTTGTGTCTCCACCCCTATCACCTCCCCGCCCTCCAAATGTCACAGGGTCAGTAACTGACAGACCACCTGGGCCCCCAAATGCGGGTAGAAAAGGTGAGTTGAGCTCTGTTGCATGTCCAGTGGTTCTGTATGTGTTGAGGAATGAGTTCAAAATGTCTTTTGACCCAGTTTTGAACACCATTTGTCCAAGTAAATAGTGCCACAAGAGGAAAAGGAATTCTCAGGTATTCACAGTTAAGAATAGTGATGGTAAGAGAACATTTTTGTTTGAAATTTTAACAAAAGAAAAGTAGAGCATCAATCAAGAGTGGATTATTTTGTGGCATTTGTGCACCTTTTTGTGTCTTTTTAGAGTAAAAGTGCCATTGAACAACAACAACAAAAAAATCTGTTAATTAATGTTTATGATGAGATTTGAAAGTAGATTTTCACAGTTACCATTTCTGTGCTTATATGAAACACTATTTATTTACAGTAGTAAATAAGCTAAATCTTTATCATAGTAGTAATAATGATAATAAATACATTTATTCTATTTTCCAAGTTTACTTTTTTCATCCAGGAGGTGCTTTTGGTCTTGTTTCAAGGGTACCTATAGCATGATTGTCATTTGATTAGTCAAAGCTAATTCTTTTGGTGTGTTTAACACTTTAGTTCGTAGCTACCCACAACCTGGAAGAAAGGGAAAGCAAAATGAATAACTATATAAGTATGATTTAAATCCTATTATTTTTTTAATTATGATTTTTACCTGCAAAAGATATTTTTTATGTATTAGCACTTGATCTCCTATGAAGGACTTAGATGTAATATTTGTAGAATGACTTCCATTCAAACGTTTTCTGTTGTTTGCTTTTGACCTAATTATTCCCTAAGCAATTTTCCAGATTCTACGAAACTGCACTGGGGTGGTGAGTATTCTAGGCAGAAAAATCCAGTTAAATTTGATTTATAACAGCTTGGACAACGGCTGTCATCAGTTTACATCAAATTGTCAGGGGTATCAATATTATATTAAAAAGAGACAGTATAAAAGACTCATTTAAATCATCTATTTTGAACAATACGCACCATGAATTTTTGTTTATTAGGAATTAGTATTTGGTACCAAATTTTAATATTTCATGAATCTAAAAGTCAAAACTACAAATGAATTAAGCCTCTTTATCCTTTCTAAACCCTGTTTTAATGTTGGCTAATTTTCATGCTGAAAATGCCAAATGTCAAAGTTTCAATCAACTGTGACCCAAACTGCCCCATCAGAAGAAATGAAGTTAGTTGAAGTTAAACAAATAATCCAGGATAAGAAAAGTGCCAGCCTACGATAAACTGAAGGATACTGAAACGTCATTGTTATTGTAGATCAAATGAGCATAAAGGGGTGCTACTGTCAGGCTCAGAACAAAAGGACTCCGCTTTCGAGGCTGAGAGACAGTAGGTTTCACAAAATGTTTTTTTTAAGATGGAACTGTAGAGAAAGGCATCTAAGGCAGGAATCTCTGCAAGGGGAGAACACAGGTTAGTGACCATGTCTATCTTGCTGAGGTTAATAATGAACGTATGAGTCACCAACCTGCTCTTATAGTTCAGCCCGTGCCCTGAAGACAAAGTTGGTTCCAGCTGGTCGGCTTCCAACAAGACGCAGCGGGCGCCGCCTAGAGAGTCTCAGACGCTGTAGTCCCGGATGTCGGAGAACAGGCAGGAGGTCAGAACCAACCATACGAAAGAAGGCAGGATAATCCAGAGCGTGAAACCAAATCCGGTATTGAGGACGTGCTAAGGATTCAGAACCAGGAGATCAGAGATCTGAAGAGGTACAGAAGGGAAAACCAGGACGGTGTCAGGAGACAGTTCCAGGTTCTCTACATAGGCAGAATCGAGCAGGAGTCTGAAAACAGATCAGGCAAGCAGATCAGAGTGGGAACATACAGGGCCAGAGGTCCAGAGGCAGAACGGGTCAGGATCCGGCAATCAAAACTCAATGACGCTAGAGAACTCACCAAAGGCTTGCATAATCTGCCACTGATGACTGTTTGTAGGATGGTTAAGAGAGGCTGAAGCAGTTGGAATGGTAATGAGAAGGGGGCAGAGCAAGGCAGGTGAATGAAATGGGTAATAAGGCCAGCTCCAAGATCAGGACAGCTACAAAAGAAAGAACACCGGCTTCTTCCACTTCAGCCACACCAAAGTCTGACTACCGTCATTGGATCATGCCAGTTTAAACCCAACATTTAGGCTATGATAAAGACCAAAAACCAGAACCATGCCTTGACATGGTTATAACTACCAGTATTCAGAGTTTATTAATCAATTCTTATCTGGACCCTGAAGAGAGTTGTTTGCACATGAATGCTCCAATCCTACCAGTTAAACTGCAAATTAAATACTTTAAAAATGTCTCATGATGCAGGGGTGAAGAAGTGCAGGTGCACAGCTACATGGTAACAGCAGACACCCTATGAGATGGATTTCTTTCTGCCTTTTCTTTTTCTCGAACGGTGAAAGACTGTAGCAATACCAAAACAGTCTGTCGTGATTCATCCCATAAAAGAGCTTGTAAGTTCGGAAAATTTAGTTCCCCTGAAATAATCTGTTGACCCAGTTAAACAGCCCCAGTGTTGCTGTTGCGTCACAAGGGTTGTGTGTTTGTCTGACACAAGTGGATCCTCCTCACCAGTCTGCTATGGGCTAACCCGAACCACACTGTGTTGATGCCTAAACCTAAACAAATTAGGAGTTAAGCCCTCTGTGGTCACGACAGAAGATGGCCATATAGATTACTTCAGATTACTTTAGGCGAAGTGAATTTAGTACAACTATTGATATTAAAGTACACGTGTAAAAGCAAACTGTGCCAACCTAACGTATGAATTTTCACACTTTTCTTATCTGTAGACTAATCACTAGTACTGGAAGAATGGTGTTAATTTATGTCCTTAAACGAAGAGCTAAATGGTTGAAACTTGGAAACCGTTTTGGTTTCAAGTGGCATAAACAGGTGAACATTGAAGTTGTAGTCTCAACACGTTAGCAAAGAACCCTGTTAAAAAAGCTGTACTATGCAAGGAAACTAACTCCCATTTGCAGTTTTGAAATTATTCAGATGAGATCATTCGACTGAAAATTTTCACTTACTCTTAGTTATCTGGGAAATGGGAAATGTTTATTATTCAGTAGTGCACACAGATTGACACTTGAGTGACCTAGGCTCAAAATCTCTAAGATAAATTATAGGATCTAGTAAAGCTGATACTTGATTTGGACTCCTGTTTGGGAGTCAATACTTCTAAAATCTATGGTTAGTTAGAAACATAGCCTCAGGTATGATCATGCCTTTACAATTAGCTATGAAAATCAGTACCAACTACTTTCCAAAATAGAACATATGGGTATCACAAAGCCCTATAATTATTATTACTTACAGAAACATTTAAAGGTTATATGTCTTTTAAATGTCAAAATTATCTGATTTGAGCTCTGCAAGAGACCTGGTGCAGTATGGGTGGCACCAAAGTTTCTCTAAATAAAACCATGTTACTTCAGAGAGTGAATGCAGCCCAAGTGCTTGCTGATATTTTCCTTTGCACTAGTATTTTTAGTCACCCAACCATCAACTGATTCTTTTATTGTGACAATGGAAGTTGTGTAAATCACCTGCAGCTCACTGTAGGCTGTGAAGAAAAGCTGAAAGTGTATTTGAAAGGAATGTTGAGGCAGTCTGCTGAGTGTGCAGCCCGTTCATGTTGGCGTGTCAGTGATTTATAGATACGGGCTTCCACAGGCACCCATGGGTGGGTGGTTGTCCTGAGATTTTCTGTTATTCCTTCTGTCTGTCTGTTTTTCTTTCTCTCACTCTCTCTTGGCCGGGCCATGTGCAAATCCCAACAATTCAACAGTTCTGGAGAGTAGATTGTATTAATCTCAATAATGGTAGTCTCCTTCCGTTTCTTTCTCACTCTCAACCCAGACGATGGCTCCAAGCCCACACCGACCATGGAGACCCACATCCCCCCCGAGGGTGAGGGTAAGCTTCCTCTAACAGTTCTTCCACCAGTAACGCGGTTTTGAGAGGATCACTTTGACAACTAATGTGCATACCAAAGATTTATAATGACTCTCAAGGGTTAGATACCGCTTCCAGAATTGTTCCTTTGTGTGCTTATGTTCATCATATTCCAGCAAATTGCTGCAGCCACAGCTTGTCATCAAGTTCATATCCAAACCTAAGACGTAGTGTATTCTTTTAAAAAGACACCATTAGATTTAATGCAAATGTGCACATGTTAAAAACTATATTTCATATTTCTGTGAATGCCAGGATTTTTATGCCGTTTTAAAGTTTGTGTTTCTAGGCAAAAGCCTGACTCCGTTTGTTGTCTTTTAAATTTTTAAAGCTGACTAAGTTAGACATTTTTATGTAGCAACCTCAGTTTGTGAGAACTGTGGACCTCTTTTCTGTCATGCTGTCATTGCAGAGATAACTGCTCCAACACTATGGATAAAACATCTGGTGTACAAGGAGAATAGGCAAAACAGCTCATCTTCTAGAAAGCAAGGTGAGATTGGAAAACGTACCCTCTCAGCTGCACAAGTTCTTTACAGAAGATCTGTCTTGATTTGAATGTGCTTATTAAATTACATTCTTATGAACTTTTAACATGGTTTGACAATTTAGATCAGTTTAAGGGAATCCGGAATATAGTTTTTTATTTCTATTTTTCACTTTATGTTCTGGATAATAACTAAAAATCCAACAGGTCTTTTTTCAGATCTTAAAGCTACTTTCATGAAACGTTCCTGGTACTTTATTGGAACTTGAAAGTACCTTTCCTGAGACTTAAGTTACTTTCTTGAAACAGTTTTTTAAACCTGCTTTTTTAGCACTTACCAGGTACTTTTCCAGAACCTTTACGTTACTTTACTTTGTTATTATGGAACGTCCCTGGTATTTTCTAAAACTTTAGTTTACTTGATTTGAGGTCTGAATAGTGTTTTCTAGCTTTGTGAAAGTTCTTGGTATGTTTAAGAAACATCCTGTTTAGGTCCATGAAAGTTCAGGTATCAGGTAAGTTGTGGAAAAAGGTCTTGGGAACTTTTGGAAAAGTAAAAAAAATATATCAGAAATGTTTCAAGGAAATTATGGAAAATAGTGGAATTTCTACTAAAATTCCTAAATGTATCATGTGCTTTTCAGTCATTCAGAGCTGAATGATAGATACTGACAACACATACTTTAATTGGTCCAACGGTTTTTAACGGAAGATAATTTTCTAATTTTAAGACAGTCCACTCTGTGATATCTCTTGATTCGATGCATGTTTCATCTGTTTAATCCCATTGCTCTTAAAACGTTTTAATTCAATTATGGTTCTGTTTTGAATCGAGCTAGGAATGAATATGAGGGTAAAGACAGGACAGATATGTTGGTTAGGCCCCTGTGGAGCCATTGTAAAGAATTAAACTGGTATTACTGAGGCGTGCAAGGAAGCACCACGGACACGATCAGCATCTTGTTATATGTGATAGAGATTGATTGTTCCTCCTAATGATGACAGTAGCAGAAGTGTGTTGATGATGAAGGGCATGCATGTTTCATCACTTGGACCTCAAACCAGACTGGGGGTGTGTCAATTTCAGAGGCTTCATCCTTCAAGGACCCGGTCTATCTGGACTGGATCCTTCGAGGTCCATGTAAAAAAAGAGGCCGGAAGAGTTTGGCTATGTATTCAAACAAGTCAAGCCTTCCCCCGGTTTTCACCGCCAGGGCACTCTGTCCCCTAGCAACTATTACAGTTGACACACAAGGCTGAATTCGAACTCAGCAAGTGTCTAGGTCAACAGTAAATGTTTGCGTTAAGATGTTGCTACACGTTGTGATTTCCTGTAGGGAGATTGTTGCTAGATGGATATGTTAAGAAAAGTGCTCAAAATTAAAGCTAAACTGGGCTTAGGAAACCTAGAACTGTTATAGTTTATAATATTGCTGTTAACCTGACTGGCGACCTGTACAGGGTGTATCCTGTCTCTCGCCCGTAGACAGCTGGAGATAGGCCCCAGCACCCCTTGCGACCCTGCTTGGGATAAGCGTGAATGGATGGATGGATGGATGTCTGTTAACCTTTATTTTCCTCACTCTTTTCTTCTCCTTTATCTTTGTTATGTTCTCACTTCCTGGTCACAAAAAGTATTCCAGCTGTGGGAATGAGGATGGTAAACATCCATCCAACCAAACAAATATGTTAATGGTTTGCAGAGCATAAGCACATGGATGTTGAGTTACAACTGCCTCCCTAATACTGCAGCTGTCCTCTGTGACTGGAGTATTTCAGATTATTATACTGTGATGACAGCTGCCTTTTAATATATACTGTGCAGCTCTGTTTCTAATACGCATCTTCATTTTCAGTAGACTTCAGAGATTTTTTGGAATGTATGCTACAAGCTTTGTTTTTATACAAACACTAAACAGTCTTCTTTTTCTCTCTGAATTTAGTTTTTATTTCCTTACCTTCCATTTCATGCACTGTTAAAAGCAACAGAGGAAACAAGGACTTGATCCACTAACATGTGTTTGTACATATTTTGACTGATCTGAGGAAGAGAGGAAACTGCGGTCTGGCCTGCTGTAAAGATCGTATTAATTCTGAGAGATATTTGCAGTGACAACTCTTTGAAACTGCTGTGGAAAGTCCAGCTTCCTGGTTCCAATTAACATCTGAGCATCATAAAGAGGGATTAAAATATCTAAGCCAGACTGAGGGGGGTTGTCATCGCTTACAAGACATAAATGAAGTGTGTGTTTAAATCTGTAATTCCATACCCTGTTTGTTTTTTTTATTTCCGATTGGAAAAGTGTGTGACAAAGGTGCAGAAGCCAAGTTCAGTGGCCACTGGAAAATAAAGCCAAGCGCAGAAATGGTTAAATATATATACAAAAAATAATGTGTGAGTTTACTGAAAAAACAGTGGCCTGCCTGGTAATCCAGAATTCTGCTTTCGGCATCTTTTAACTTGCATATGTTGTGGAGGATTTTTTGTTATTTCTTTATTAAGGAAAATTATGCATATTATTTTCACTAGTGTTATACAACCCAAACTTATGAAAGGTGTTTAATTTTCTGAGTAAGCATTCCAAGATGATCAAATGTGAGCATTTTTTAAGGGAGAAATTAGGTGAGAAATAACTCTAATCAAACATTTTCTGAGTAGTTTGCTAAACTTGGTTTATTTCTTTAAAAACAAATATCAGTAAATACTCTTAAAATGTCTTGGGGGTGTGGGTGGGTTCTGCATTATTCCAATTATGCTAATATTGCTGTTACACAATTGTTACACAAGTCTGAGATAACAGTTTATTACCAATTTATAGCATATAGAGGGAACGACAATGCTCTTCATGGCTCAAAGATCTGAGAACGTGGTTGCTGAATCCACCAATGAATCAGCATAAGCATGCACATTTTGGCCAATACTGATACAATAAATAGTACGGCCTGGAATATTGTCAGGTATCAGTTTATCTCTACTCCAAAGCTAAAGCTGCTGCCTTGTTGATGTAGTTTGTGGAGCAAAGTCTCTGTTGCACATTCTTTTTTTTTTTTTTTTTTTTTTTACAAACTGATTTAGCTTAAACTGCAGAACACATTCCATCTGGGTTTCATAGACAAATGTCAGAGAACATGATGCCTCAGTTTTTTTACATAAGTGCTTTAAGTTTTTTGTACTTATGCAACTAAACTTTAACCCCTGCCTACCTAAGCTTCGATAGTGAGTTTAAGATTACTAGAAGGGGACAACAGAGCAATAAAGAAAGGAGGTATAAAAGCTGTTTTAAGTGAGACGTGTACACTTTTGAGATGCATGTTGAATCTTTTTTTCAAACTGGGTGCTAATTCTATAAATTAGAATCAAGTTTAACATAGTTAAAAACGTTAAAACCAAAACGGGTTTGGAAAGCATTGGAGTGTTGCAAAACTAGACCTATTTTGTAATGAGTTGGGAGGTAATTCATAAGAAAAAAAGCTTTAAGCTCTAAGTCATCTCTGCTAGTTGAAAGCTGTTCAGTTTATGTTTAGCTAAATAAATTATCTAAATACCAGCCTGATCATTGCTGTGTGTGACCTGTGTTTTTATTGGAAGCACTTTGCTGTTCCCTGCCAGTGTTAGAGGCCAGAGAGGCTACGATTGTTAGCAGTCATCAGTAGAGATGATCTGATTACACAGGCTTTGTGACTAAAAAAAGAAAATGGCAAGTGTTCACATTAAGGCACAACAATCCTCTCTGTTTAAAGTTTTTAATCATTGCTTCTTCCCAATGTTTCTAATTTTACTGGAAAACTCTTGAGTTCTCACCAAGTGAGCTCATGAGTGACATCGCCCAAAAACCGGCTGAGAGGAGTGGAGTAAATGTTTGCTAACAGTGTTTGCTTAAGCAAACAAATGCAAAGTTCATTTTTAAACAGATGGGTCACTGCCAGACTTTGACATCCAAATATCTAATAGAAGTGAACACAGACACCTAAAAATGCACTAATCGTAAATTTTCCATACAAAAGCATCAACTTTTACTTTTATTACTGATCTTTTTTAATTTTATTCGAGTCATTTAGTCTTTTGCTTGTGCGGGATGTACATCTTTCAGGACAAAAAGTGAAGACAGAGAAGGAATAGAAATAAACGATGTGATGAAAAGCTCTAACGAAAGGAGCCGTTTCCGTGACTGAACCCTTAGTCCACTTAAATCTATTGATTTTAAGCTTCTTTTAATAAACCTACTGGCCTCCTTCACACAAATTCCTGACATTTAGAACATTTTAGCTGTTTTAACTGCAGTGGAGGCTTCCTAGAAACAGTATTGCAGTGATTACTGCACAGCTGAAAGCCATTGGAGTGAAGTGAAGAGGAGAAAGTGCTTGGAGATTGGGGGAGGTGTTCAGGTTTAAAGAGAGGGGATCGGGGGAAGAAACAAAGAGGTAAAGAAGATGAAGATCTGGAGAAGAGGAGAGCGCTTTATAGTCTCACCTGGATCTGAGTCTGGATAATCATGGCCAGAATGAATAAAATGGAGCTTATTAAAGGTACTTTAGATGTTCATCTTCCCTCCATTATTAACCTACCAGGATAGAGAGCAAACAGCTCCAGTGACTCCTAGTTGCTCTGGTGTTGGTGTTCCTTAGTGGGATATTTGTTTTCAGAGACTTTGTGTTTCATATATTTAGGTTCTGTGCAGGAAGGCGAAGTAGAAAACAAAAATATTTGGAAATGGAGATATTTATTACAGGCTTCCAGTATTTCCAGCATGAACTGTATTTAATTTATATAATCAGTTCAAAAGCTTTTTGTCTTTGACAATAGTTTTTCAAAAAGGAAAATAAAAAACAGATGAAATATTCTGTTTATATGTGTTATAAACTGAATTTATTTATATCAGGAGGATATATATAGAAGTTTTGGACATGAATGGCTACAGTAAATATTGAATAGATTATTACCTTTTTAGTCGCACTATGGGGAAATTCAGGTGCAACAGCGGCAAAACAGATAAACCTAATAAAGCTTAAGACTTGGTAATATAAAAAAAAACAAAACAAAAAAAAACAGAGACTAAACTTGGCAAAAATGATATCATAACAGAAAGTTTAATATTTTCTATATTTTTCATAAAGTTTGCAGTTATTTCCTGCTGTAATTAAACATTTGTCCATTCTAAATTGCCCAGCTTCTAACATGATGTATGTTTAGCTTCATCCATCTTCCTCTCAGCACTGACCAGTGTTTGTCCTAGCAAATAAAAAAGTTTTCCTCTAGAATAATGCCACCATCACGTTTCATGTTTCATGTTTGAGAAGTAAAAGTATTTGTATTAAAAATATCCAGTACAGTGCTGTCAGTGTGATGCGTTCTTGTACCAAGTGAATAAAGCCTTTTTGTATACAAATGCAGAATATTTATGCGCAGAACTAGATGTGCAATGGACTATTATTAAGCGCAACTTTTAGAAGTGAGACCAAAACAAAGGAGTACTGGCAGCTTGCTCTAAGCTCTGCTTATTTTGGAACATTGAGGTTTGTCATACAAAGGACAAAAAAAATGGAGTAAATCTCACAAAAATGTTTTTAAAAATGGTAATAGTGTAACTCGCTCAGCACTAAACGTTATCAGTTGAACATCACAAATGCTGGAAAATAAAGGCTACATTGAAGTACAGCTGGGACATTAGGTATTATTGTAATATAAAATAATGAAATATGTTTTAGATATGGGCACCTCATCTCAGCATCTCTGAGCTTCCTTTTGGACAAACCTGCTGTTTGCTGACCTAAGGGGCTGAGAAAGTGATAAATTGAATAGCTCTTTGTGAGACCTTTTTAATCCAAAGATTTCTCTGTAAATCCCTCCTTTATAATGCTGTTTGTTCAGTGATGTTCTCTAACAAATCTCTGAGGCCCTTTTGAGGATAGCTGCTTTTATAGTGAGATCCAATTACACAAACCTGAAAGCTGCTCTCTGAATAAGCAAACAGCTAGAACTGTATGGCAAGCCGACCTAACATAAATTCGGTTGTACCGCCTTTACATTCAAGATATCTCAAATAGTTTTATGACTAGACACTTTAGCGATTTAAGATATCTCTAATTATATTTTGACTAGTCAAAATTCCTATTTGGGATTTCTCTAATTACATTGTGACTAGTCGAAATGACGTCAGATTTACCATTAACTTGTATGGAGACGTCAATTTAAGATATCTAGAATGAATTACTGACTATCTGAAATACACATTTCAGATATCTACGATTAAATTATGACTAGTCATAAAGTAATTTCAAGATATCTCAATTTTAGTTTTGACTAGTCATAATTCTAATTAAAGATATCTCAAATGCCACCATAATTCATGATATCTTAAATGTATTTTAGGATAGGAGATATGCAGTTTTGACTAGTGAAAACTCAATTAAAGATATCTTAAAAGCAAATAATGACTAGACAAAACAAAATTAAAGATATCTTGAATTGTAATTTTGACTGTTTGAAATTCCTTATATCTCTAAATGAATTAAAGATATCTTGAATTATTCAGCTTTTCCATTAAAGATATCTTAAATTGACATTCTGACTAGTCAAAATGTGTCATGATCTTTTTAATGGGCTTCAGGGAGGATCATTCCTAAAAAAATCCTCACTGTCAGTTTAATCCAAAGGAGGAAAATCAGCGTGTGACGCTTTAAATGATGAATCAGGTGTCGTAATTTGAGATACAGTATCTTGAAAGGAATTTTGACTAGGTAAAATGTAATTTAAGATATCTTGAATTATTATTCTTCCTAATCAGAATGTAAACACAGATATCTTAAATTACCATACCGGATATGTGGTTTTGTCTAGTCAAAATGTATTTTAAGATATCTGGAACGTAATTATGGATGGTCAGACAAAACCGAATTTATGTTAAAAAAGCTTGCCATAAGAACTGGACTGTGTTTAAGGGCCTCAGAGGGTTCATTACAAATGCAAACATCATTTTTGTATCAGCAACCTTTAATTCTTCAATTTGGCACTAATCTATGTCAGTTTATCGCCCAAAATCTTGTTCGAATTTATCAAAAAATTATCAGATATGTAGGTTAACAGTATTGAAAGAGTATTGTCTGTTTACAGGTACAAATTTGGAGTTGGGTTTTTCTGAAATGTAAACATTTGGTTACAAAATTTTTCCTCGGGCTTTTTATTGACAAGATGAGACATAAATGAAGAATGAAAGAGGGTTGAGAAATAAAGCTCAGTGTAGTTGGAAGTTTATTGATTTCTGGGTGATAAAAAAGGTGAAGGATGAAGCAATCTCCGGGTCAAATACCGTAGGTCCTGATGGTGATCCACATTTGGAGGCATGCTGTAAAAGAAAAAAACTGTGAAAACATGCTGAAAGCATCAATCTGTGTTTGATTGGAAACCAGTGCACCGTACAATAGACGGATGAATGAAACACCACAGACTCATGTCACTTGTCTTTCATGCACGATAACATTGTTGGATTAAGTGTTTTTCATGTATTCAAAACATCCACCTGATTTACCAACTTTTTATCTCTGCCTTTTCCCTCTCTGCTGAAACCCATTTTTCAGAAAAGGTTCCCTCTTGTGACCAGGAGAGACAGAATGCTCTGACTGAGGCTCAGCAAAGTTCTCGAGAGTCCATCATAATCCCAGACTGTGGGTCTGGAGGCCTTTACAAACCAGTCCAGTGCCACCAGTATACTGGTTACTGCTGGTGTGTTATGGTGGATACAGGACGGCCGATCCCTGGAACTTCAACCTTGTAAGATTTATTATCAAAAATACATCGAACAAAATAGCGTTGATGGTTTGATTATTTTTCTTTGTGCTTACTAATGATTCATGTATTTATTTACATCCATAACTGTATAATTACTACAAATGGATTTAGATTCACTTGGCTTCTGTGAAAGCATGAGAAAGTACTGAGTCAGCTCAAGTTCTAATGTTAGGCAAACATAATTGTTGTGGTCCAGTTTTGATGACACAAAAAAAAGTGGAAATCCACAAAGGCCACAGATGCACCATCGACTAATTTTACGCAAGAAAAAAAATGTTCCAGGTAAACTCCTTTAGTTTTCTCAGTTTATTTTTTTCTCAGGCAAGCAAACAAAAAAAGACAAACATTTCCTCCATGTTTCTCTTGCGCTGGTAAAAAACCATAAGCCCACCCAGATGCATGCTGGTCCTACCGTTGACTGCCTATTTATAAAAAAGAATTCACCTAAATTAATCATAACTAACCAAAAACAAAGGAACATGACTAAATAACAAAAAAACATAATCTCATAACAGATATCAAATAATAAAGTAAAATAAACTGCTAGATTATGCACAAAAACAAAAAACATTTTTAATTATTAACAAAAAATAATTGGCTCCTACAATAATTGTAAGCTTAATTTCTCAAAAGAAATGACACATTTTAATGCTAAATTGATAAGAGCAAAAAAAAAAAAAAAAAAAAATATTTATATATATATATATATATATATATATATATATATATATATATATATATATATATATATATATATATATATATATATATATATATATATATATATATATATATATATATATAAAGCTCATTGTAAAATAAGAACATAATATGTATGCATTATGGAATTATCCAGACTAATTTAATCAATGTCAGCAACATTTTATGACACAGCGTCATAATTTAAAGTGTATGGAGTGAAGTTTGTCCCATTATTGTTGCAAGCAAAGATTATGTTTTGTAAACGAAAGAAAATGGAATCCAGAAAAGAAACGTTTAAAAACGTTTTAATCAAATCATACACTGTTTTAATCCGCACATTGACCACAAAAAATGTTGTTGCTACCCTCCATGCAGACCGATTTGAAAAAAGTGCGTTCCAAAAAAGAGGAGAATGTGATCTGTAAAACACAATTTTAAAAGAATGCAAGTCATAAAACTCAACCACTGACAGAGAAATCTGAAAAAAAAAACAAAAATCTTTTAGGAAAAAAATAAATATAAAAAAATTTGGAAAAAAGTTAATTGTCAAAGTTTCATTTCTCGATTGCATTCATTTATTATTTTTTTCTGATTTACAAAATATGCTCTATAAAGATGCCATACTGTATATACCACTGTCACAGAATCATTTAAGGGCTTTTCAAAAGATGTTTTTTTTTTTTTTTTTTTTTGATACTGTAAGAACAATACATACTTTAATATTATCTATGTAGACACTGTCTGAGTTGATGAATGTTCACTCACCAAATTCTGTGAGCAGGACAAAAAAATTCCAGCAATCATTTTTTATTGATTCAGCCAATTATTATTTGACCTATTTTAGGAGATTTGTAATAAATTAAATGAAACCTGGAACAGTTGCTTTTGTTCCCAGAAATCTTCCTTCTATGTGTTTTTTTTTCTGAGCTTCTCTATAACATGGTGAGTGGTTCTTCCTTTAATTAGAGTGGTATTTACTGTGGAGTCAGCCATTGAATGTGGGGTCAAAGCCACTGTTGTAAAAATTAAGGCCGTGGATTTTGGATTAAACTATCAATGAATTGGCAATGTCTATGGAGTCACAATGACTGCACTTTCTAATCTTTTCTAGAGTGACTGTTAAGTCACTGAATCTGAAAGAGCTTTAGCCCACAGGCATTAAGAATTAAAAAAAAAAAGTCTGCTTTCTGCATGCCTCCAGTTGTAATGCTCACAACAGCAAGGAACAAGAATGAACTTTCTTAACAGAAGCAGAAACACTATTCTCATCACAAAAAATGTTCCACTTTATATCTCCTTCTTCCAGACAAACTGATTGTGTTGTCTTTTTTAATGTATCACTTAAGGAATGAAGTTAAAAAACTGAAAACAAATCAAACAAACTAATCAAACAAACTCTCTAGTACACATAAAGGACATTTACCATGTATTTTCATAAAATAAAATGCATCACACAAGAATATGTCTTACCATGGTATTACAAGATTTCATTATAACAGGGTTATACGTGGGATTACATGTCAGTTTTGGCAGATATGGGCTGAAGGGGGAATGAACAGGGGGGATGATGGATGCTGGCCCTGGGTGGCTGGTACCGCCCCTTTGGTCGCCAACTCTACACAGTGGCAAAAAAGGAAATAATAGTTTGATTAAAGCAACTCTCCTTTATATTTATATTTATGCATTAGTTTTTTCTTACAATTGATCTACTCTTTATTTGGCTACTTATATTGTTTTATTAATATTGTTTAGCTTTTATAACATTACCATTTATCATAACTATTATCTTTTTTCTGTTTATTGTACTATTCTATTTTTTTTCATTTATTTATCACATATAACAAGCACACTCTTTCAAAAATATTTTTGCATGTTTTGTCTTGTCTTTTCAACGAATTGAATTTTTGTTGACTTCCTTATTCACATCTCTATAACAACCAGAGGAAAAATTAAATTCAATTCAGTTTATTTCTATAGCGCAAATTCACAACACATGTCATCTCAAGCACTTTACAGTTCACCAGATCATGCAGTCAAATTGATTCAAAGTTTTCTATCTAAGGAAAACCAGTTGATTGCATCGACTCATTGACTTGAATGCAATTCCTCATACTAAGCATGCTTGTAGCGACAGTGGAGAGGAACAACTCCCTTTTAACAGAAAGAAACCTCCAGAAGAACCTGGCTCAGTGTGAGCGGCCATCAGAGGAACAACAATAAATAACTATTTCAGAAGTAAACATAAAAAAATGTTTTCTGATCTAAAGATTTTTTCCATCGCCAGCTGTAAGCGGATTAGTAGAGGCATGCCCTCCACTGCAAACAAGTAAATCAAGAGTACTACCTACCTGCCTGCCTGCCTGCCAGGGCTCTACTTTCCAGTAAATTTCTTACCAAGTTCAAACGGCTCAAGAAAACTACCAAGAAATCCTGGTTCGTTAAAAGGTTCCTGGCATGGAAATGTGCTTGTTGATCATTGAAACAATGGCGACGGCTGTTTACAAGTAAAGTCACTGGTCCAGATATTTTCTAAAACTTCAACACCCTCCCAGCCCATACGCACCATACAAAATTGAGCAGTATGGAAAGTGAAAAATATGCTACACAGACATGACATGGTGGGATGTTCCACATAAATAGCTTAATTTCTCCCACATATCAAGTTTTTCAATACGCCAGAATGTTTTTTAAGGAATCTCTATCAATTTTCATCGAAATTCATGAAAGAAAATCAAAAAGTGCCCCAAGCTTTGGACCCAGGCGGCTCTTAAACGTTTACTTAACAAAGTGAATAATTTCAAGCAATGATGTAAGTATCGGTTAGCTAGGTATAAACACTTAGCCTCTAAAGGCCTTGTGTTTTCAGTTCAGCCTCTGCTGTTTACTTTGCTTTTAGCCATTGGCAGAGATCTATATTTATAGTTGGTGTTGGTCTTTGTCAGAGGGATCTCTAAAACCAGAAATATGATAAATAATGATGCTTTAAACTAATGTTTACTGAAGCAGTATCTTGTTCAGTTTGTGTTGAGAACATGGATATCAGACCTCGAACTGAAAACAAGACAAATAGATGTTTGGATAACTGAAACTGTGTATGAGCACGTAGATAAGAGATGGTTTATGTTTCAGAGGGTAAAATAAAAAGCAATATCCAATTATGCAAAAAGTAAACGTTTTAATAAACAATGTGTCAAATTACAGATCCATCAGATGCCATGCCGTTTTATACAGCAGCATGAAATGGAAACCGAATCCTAGCTGGACCAACCAGGCTGAACATTTTTTTTTTATCAAGAAAACAAGGAAAAATAAGCTTCAGCCGTTTTATTTTTTATTCTCTTACCTAAAAGTGTGTTGCATTTTGCATCTTTCCGATTTCTTTTCTCCATGCAGCAGTGTCCAAAGTTAGGTCACAGGCTGTGCAGACAGTGAAAACAGACATGACAACTCGCTGTTGACTTGAAAGAAGCCAAATGAGGCACACATGCTCCATTTCTCACTGCATTCAAGAAGCACTAGACCAGCCAGGAAAAAAAGGAGTCATACCAGATTTAAAGCCAAATAATTTCATAGGGGTCAGGAAAAAAGGCTCCCTGTTTTTTTTTTTTATTGTAAGATTTAATTAGAGGTTAAGTTAATCTTTGTCAGTTAGATCCATAAGACTATTTTAATACATCTATTTAATAAAAGCAATAGCTGCTTTAAAAAGGATCTGTTAGACTTGAGTGTTTCGCCAGTGATAACAAGAGAATTATTTCACCTTTAGTGAAAAAATCTTTGGTTTTAGGTTTGTTTGGTGTTGTTGAGCTCCTGGATATGATAAGTCACTCCTATTTACTGTGACCATGTTAATCTATCACACATATTCTTCTTTCCTTCTTAGCCTCTGTCTCAAAAATTCCCCCCTTTTTTGTGTCTCTGTAAAAGGTACAAGACGCCAGAGTGTGACGAAGGTGCACGGTCTCATGCCGCAGACACAGAGGATCCATTCAACGACAGACCCTTGCAAGGTTCCCTTCCTCTTTCACACTATTTGCTTTGAGCTCAGTGTTGGATTAACTTTTTCTGAGGTTTCAGAACTGATCAGGAGCCAGACTAAAATTTTAGATAGTAATCTACTGAGCAAAAGTATTCAAGCCCCTTGAACTTTTTCACATTTTAGATTTGTTCTGAGTCTGCCTTCCTGAACATCTTTTTCTTCAATACTTCTCAAAAACCTTTATCTACCTCGACAATCCCGACTTGCAGGTGTAGCAGAAAGGAAACAGAAGTTAGATTAGTATTAAAACAGACTTTTTAAAGACATAATTCATCACAGTTACGGTATGTAGGAAATTAGCTCAGAAAATAGATTTAAATAGTTTGTAATAATCCAAATATCTTAAATAACTGCGGCGATGTCTACTTTTTCTTTTATTCAGTTCAATTGAATTGATTACATTGCCCCAATTCACATCAGCTGTCATCTCAAGGCGTTTTATAGAAAAAATTCAATCAAATCAACCATTAAGATTTTTTTTTTCAAATTAAGATTTTTTTTAAGTATGCAGCCGATAGTTTGGCTGTTGCAGATTCTCCTACCTGAGCTGCAGATTTCTCCAGCTTCTTCGAGTTTCTCTTTGTTGCATCTGATTAATGCTGCTATTGTTCAGCCTGCTAGTTCAGTCAGATGGCCTGTCTGACTGTACATAACTGTGACCTTACCCTGTTCTATAATGCTCCACAACTTAATCCTTGACATTTTTTGTGTGCAGTTAACGACATTTCTTGTTCACTAATGTTTTTTTAGCAATCTCTTTAGGCCTTTACAGATCAACTGGATTTATTTAAGATTATATTAAACTCTGCAGAATTGTATTTCTTAATTGAGTGACTATTGAAGGCAGACGGTTGCAGCGTACAGTATATATATATAAAACAATCTAGTTAGAAATACTATAAATAAGGCATTTGCAAAAAAACGGCAAGAAAAATATCCAAAAAATAATTAAATACCAAAGAACAGTAATCAAAAAACTACATGACTAAATAATTCAGTGGCTCCGGCCAGTAATATGCCGTGCCATTTGCTGGCGAGCCACCGGAACTGCTGCAACGAGCCTTACGTGACGGCTTACGTGATGAAACAAGTTGGTTGCATTACCAGACTTTGTTTTTACCGGTTTCTTGCAAGTTTTACAAATCACTGTGGTTTATTTCTGTCAGACTGGCGAACTAGTAAAACCTTGTTTTGGGACCCTTTCCTCCGCCGCTCTTTGCTGCGACATATTCACCTGCCTTGTGTTGTGGTTTGAGAGGGCTGCTCTTTGTGACACCGTGCCTGGGTCCGCAATTACGATTGGTCGAGAGGAAGTAGTGACTGTAGCATCAACTAATATGACAGATCAATTTGTTAAATCTAAACATTGTGGTCTTCATTATTTCATAAAACCGTGTAAGATGTGAACCTTTAGGAACAGACTTTTTGGGGGAGTATTAAAGAGGTAAAATTAATAAGAGAAAAAAAGTCCTAGGTCAATAAAGTAAAAAAAAAAAAAAGTGATAATGTTATGAGAAAAAGGTCATTATGAGAATTAAGAGGGAACATTTCCAGAATAGTCACAGTTTGCAGAATTATTTCACTCCTGGTGTAATAAGGCCAGGTTAGATTATGTTAAATATTTTTATTCTTTAGGAGAATAAATTCAGGAGAATGAAGCTAAAGGGATACGAAAATAAACTTGTAATATTACAAAAACAAAAATACTATGAATACAAAGTATATTCAGAGATTAAAGTCCCTCTGATACTGTTTAAGTGACTGAGTAACTGCAGATTTGCCACATTTAAGATGGCGGACTCTCTGACGCATTGCAGCATATAGGCAGAATCCACCCAATGACGCATCTACTCTTATATTATGTCTATGATGTAGCCCACATTTTATTCTGACAAGCCATGAATAGGGAGGGAAAGTGAAAACCAGCGCCCCAAGTGGTTGCGCTCCTATTGAAGAGCAGCTCAAGTTATGTGAAGCCAAATCAGCGAAGTTATCCACCAAAAATATTTTTCAATGTGTATACAGTAATAATCTTCTAACTGTGAAAATGTCAGGCCCTATTTTGCCTTATTTAGAAAAAAAAAAAATCGAAATTGCTCCTTTTGTTTCATAAATGGACCACAAAAAAAGTCGTGTGACGTTACTCACTGTAGCATGATTTGTTTATTAGCCTGGTTAGCATGGACAATTACTGAGTCGAAGCACAACACCAGTTATCAGACATAAAGGTAATCACCATGCAGTTTACATCATGCTCCGTTATTACAAAAATATGCCAGATAAGCGCCCAAACCTGTGACGTCACATGCAACTGTAGTTCACCATGTTAAGACAAAAACGCCAAACCATTCAACTGATCCTAAAAATAAGGTATAACCACTAGAAGCAAAAGAGGTGACTCCAGTGGCGAACATATGGAAGGCACTAAATTAGATCCCCATATGCAACGAGATATAGTTTTTCTAAAAAAAAAAAAAATCCCATCCACTCACTGAGCTATATAATACACTGGAGTGCTGATTTTGCCGAAAAACTGAAGTCACTGGCCGCCATCTTGCTACTCCCTAGTCTCACAGAATCCCATAGGATTTGGTTGCAACAACAAGCAATTTCCTGGCTGTGTGAAAACGTTTCACAGGTAATTCTACAGTCAGTGGATGTACTAACACTATCAACTACTAGGAAATTAGGTTCTAAAATATTTTACATGTTATTCATATTAAATATATATATAAATATACAAAAATATTTATTTACATATATGTGTATATATATATATATATATACAAAAATATTTATTTACATATATGTATATACATATATATATATATATATATATATATATATATATATATATATATATATATATATATATATAATGCAAAATATTTCAGCACATGAATTTCTCAGTACTTGATAGTTTTAGAACATAACATAAAAGTATATGGCATTTGACATTTTAAAAGTTTTAAGCACCCCCTGAACATGAGAAAATCCTCGTTATTCGATGCTGTAGCGCACATATTTCCTAGTTACTGGGGGGAAATATGGAGTACCAATATGGCGGCTGGTGGCTTCAAAGTGACTCGTTCTAACAGCTGGCGATTAGCACTCCAATGTATAATATAGCTCAGTGCATCCCCTCTCTGCATGGCTTTGGATGAGGTTCATGCACTAAAATAGGCTATCATAGGCTACTGTAATGGCATAAACATGTTCCATTGATCTACGTTAACACCGCAAACGACATGACATCAACAAAACACATTAGTAGGGTTAGCCTATTTCTAACCCAGTCAGTCAGACCACCTGTTACTCGAATACAAATAACATTAATGAAGTTCAACATATTCTTGCAGCCCACATCACATAACATAGCCTACCTTTTCGTTTTCGAGTTTCTGAATAAACTCTTCGCTGACACCTCTATCTTTCAAGAAGTCCCTCAGGCTACTGTACTTTTGTTAAGGGTTGTAAGCTGTGCTGAATACAACAAGGACTCTCCAAACTTTTTAGACAGTTTTGAAAATAACTGAAAATAACTTTCATTTTCCTTTTTCTTTAATGCTATCTGCTACTCTGAGCTGGTCTATCACATAAAAACCTAGTTAAGGAGTATGTGACATCATGACAAAAAGTAGGACGTTCAAGTGGTATGAATACTTTTGCACTTACTTTTACCCCAAAGAAATTATATAAAAAAAACATCTAACATGAACATTCATGTTAGATGTTTTCTGAAAATAATTTTGGTTACATTAAATTTGATGCAATAGTTTAGAATCTTATGAGTTTAAGATTCATGTATAATTAACATGTTACATTGTCGTGGAAGTTTGGCATGCTGCCTAGAAATGATTTTGCAGATGAGCCAACAAAACCCCAAAGTGATTTCTACAGAACTCTCTCTTTCTTACTTATGCTGCTGTCTTCACTGCTCCGTTAACTTTCCCCCAATGTTTCTCCAGTATTTAGGGGATGCATTGTAACTCATATTTAAATACCCATCTGGTGAGTTTACAGAGTCGAGCATACTCCTGACTGTGAAGCAGATGTGTGGCAGGTTTTATGCAAGGTGCAAGTTTTGTGGGTTTGAGTTGATAGGGGCTGCAGGGCCAAGGGGGCGGTTGAGGGTGTTGAAGACATTTTTATGTACTGTAGAAGGATTTTTCTTAACCACCACAACAAAACCAAACTACTTTGCACAGAAATCCAAATATTATCTGATTTGTTTAAATTACAGTCACAAATTTCAATTGATTTTATGAATTAAATAAACCGATAGGAGGGGATAATTTTGCAGCTTACCTATATAAATTAAACTGGCAAGGAGAGCATCAGGCAGAATTGCAGCGAAATTAGGGAGGACAACAAATATATTAGAGAGTAAGATGTGGTTGGAAGAGACCACAATGAAACTTTTTAGCCTATGAGCCTAGATCCGACATTTGATTTATTTTAAATCATGATTTATTTTAAAACTTGCAAAATTGCACACCCTCCTAAACACACTTTATTTATTCAAATATAAGAAAATTTGATTAGGTCACTTTCACCATCATAAGAGGCAATGTTTATACCAATTTCTGTATGTAAAAAAATATATATTCTAACCTTGCCCAAGCTCAGAATACTCAGTAAGCATTAGAGAAAAAAAGGGGGTAAGGAGGGGATGATGTCCAGTTTAGTTCGGCCTGGGAAACCAGTCCACTCATCCAGGAAAGGAGGGGACAATGAGGGGATGATGTCTTCTTCAGGGAGACTGTCCACTCATCCAACAGGTAGCTCTTGGAGAGACTAGGTATTCTGACGAGAAACAACTGAGGCGGATCTGCAGGATTTAATTTGATCACTTGCAGCACCTTTGAGAGGACGTCTTCTCAGGGCGGCCGCCAATACAGTAGCTCCATAGCAATAGCAGTAGCTGCATAGCTTCCAAAACGCGACCTAACCAGTGGGGCGTGGTTCAGCACTTCGCAGTGACACATCGGCAAATAGTAGTGGGGCCCGGGCCGTTCTTTTGGTGGCAAATGAGGGTCAAACATTCGGAAGAACTGGATAGTGTCTGCTTCAGCATGCGGGTTCGCGATGAAAAACATTGTGTTCAACTTGGTTTGTCAGGAAGTAAGCACTATGTTCACTATGTTCTCAGTTCTCTCTGAATCTCTTGCCACTGAGCACAGACTTTCCCGCAGGAAAGGTGACTATGTAATGTGGCTTCAGTTGAAGACCGATGTGTCTAACCCTTTAGACCTGAGGGGCCAATGGGCAAAGAAAGAGAAAAATGGGGGAGTCCGATCCTTAAATAATCTCTGTCGCAGGGATGTGACGTTAGGGGGTAGTCGCTCTCACTTACATTATAAGACATTTGTTCTTCAACGCTCCCAAAGCTAGCTGCATAACTTGGACCCTTTAATATACAATGGTAAGACCATATCTCCTGGGATAAAGGGTTTTGATCTATCAGCCTTAGTCGGTTGAAAAGTTATTTTAACTTAAATCCAACATTTTAATACTCATAAGGAAGCAGTTAAGTGTACATCATAGAAATTGATACCAAGGACACAGTAGGGCCTGGCATGACGGTGCCATTCAAAGTGTGTTAAATACTGCCAGAGGTTCTTTACTGCCCCTAAACAGAACTATGTTGCAAAGTCATTGACATTTTGCCCCTTACCTGTAAGCTGTGTATATTGGTTTGTGCTTCATAACACCCCAATTTCATGCTTGGATTAAGGCACAGCAAGGCAGGACCTCTCAAAGCTTGTCCTGTTGTTCAAAATGCTAATTGGAATCACCTGGAAAGTGAGCAAAGGCATTGAATTCATACAAGTCTCAGTAAACGACACAAACCACTATGAATGACTGGGATGTCACAAACCCTTTGAAGTCATGAGCTTAAAAAAAGTCTGATAGCAAGAGAGATAAGGCTTAAAAGAGACTAAGAAGAACATTAGCTTACTGTGCAGCTGTGTTTGAACTTACCCTACAAGAGACACAATTAAGAGGGAAATGTTTGCACAGGTTAAGCATGCTGTTAAAACCATACATCTGGGCAATTAAAAGGAGCTAACCGAGGTGTTCGGAATTATGTCATAAAAGTTAACTGGTCTTCTCTGCTCAACAAAGCTCCCACGTCTCTCCATGTGCATCGGCTCTGTTTCTGTTACAAAACCTCTCAAAAAGAGCCAACAATGTTGTCTGCATTAGAGGCTATAGTTTATGAACCTTAAGCTCTAGCTGAGACCTGTACCCTCACAAATAGCATTTAACAGATGGGCCCTATTGTTGAGATCCGTCCTGCTGATTCACTGCTATGGAGGATTTAGAGGTACATCAATTTCGCTGCACCACAATTACTCAAATTAGTGGTAACTTTGATGCTTTGTTGTTTTTTTTTTTTGTCTTTGATTTGCACTAGGCTGCCCGGAGGGAAAGAAGGGGGAATTCATTACAAGCTTGTTAGACGCCCTTACAACCGACATGGTGCAAGCCATAAACTCACCAGCCCCCTCAGGTGGTGGGAGGTAAGACAAAACTAAGAGCAACATAATGATGTCCTTATATTTTGATGCACAACTTTTTGTATTTATACTGTTCGCTATTCACCTGTGTGTAATTCTATATAGATAATATTTTAAATTAGTAAATCATGTGCTCACCTTAAAATACTTAATGCTTTCATGTGTCCTTAATATGTTGTGATAATAAACAATAACTGCTTGCATGTTTTTAATTGGCAATCTATGTTTGAACTATATGTTCTGATTTGAAGAAAGGTTTAAATTTAGCCTTATTTGAGTATAGGCTGCCTTCTCAAATTGAGGCTATAGCAGGATAATGTAGTCAGTTGCCAATTAACCTAAAAGTTATGTATTTGGACTGTGGGAGGAAGCCACAATACTCCAAGAGAACCCACGCATGCACGGGGAGAGCATGCATATTCAATGCAGAATCTAACCTGGACAATCAGTGTTTAAAAATGTTATATATTTGTCTGATAACAAAATGTATTTGACACTGTCAGATTTGCCATAAATATGACAGAAAATAAACAGCAACAGAAACTAGTAGTTTTGCCTCATGTTTACATACAGTCCACTGTGTATTTCAAGTTCTCCCTCAATCCATTTCTAGGTTTGTTGAACCTGATCCCAGTCACACTCTGGAGGAAAGGGTGGTGGATTGGTACTTTGCCCAGCTGGATAACAACGGTAGCAACGATATTACCAAGAAGGAACTCAAACCTTTCAAGAGGTACCTGAAGAAGAAAGCAAAACCTAAGAAATGCGCCCGCAAGTTCACCGACTACTGTGATCTGAATAAGGACAAGGCTATTTCGCTGCAGGAGCTGAAAGGCTGCCTTGGTGTCAGCAAAGAGGGTAAGACTATAGGAGGTTTTCTGAGGAAGAGTACTTTGAGGTGTCTACGTTTTATTGATAAAGATTGTTAAGATTTAGTAATTTGTGTTAATATATATCCTATTGGAATTACTTTAGAAAAAAAAAAGCATAGAGTAAATTATTTCAATTTCAGTGGCTTATTCTACAAAAAATACAAACTTATTTGATTAAGTCTGTGGAGAGAAAAAAATAATGCTGAGAAAAAAACTTTTATCAATAGTTGCAAACTTATCGCAAAAGGAGTTAATTTTATCTTTTACTCCAATATTTGGCAAGACTGAATCATACAAACACAGAACACAGCTCTGTCTTATAGCATCATCTGTTTTGATCACCCAGAGCCCAAGATGCCTGATATACTCTTATCTTCACTTTACTCCACAGGATTTAATCAGGATTTACATCCAGAAAGTGTTGTGTTTTAGCCTTATTCCAAATGTTCTCAAAATTTTTAACCCAGTACCTCATTATTAAAATATGAAAAGAAATAGAGATTTTTTCAAAGTTATTGCAGAAGAAAAACTAAGAAATCACATTTATGCAAGTATTCACAGCCTTTGCTCAGTACTTTGATTACAGTATCTATCTTTGGTAGTAGTTAAGTTTTTCTGAATAAAATGCCATGGAAAACAATAATGATATGATGCCATAAGATTAGGGCTGCCATCTTTAGGCATTTAGGCCTTGTCTGCACATCTGAGGCTCCATAATGTTGGAAGGGAGACATCTGTGCTTAGCTCTTTCACATCTCTTCACAAATGCTCTTTGGGTCAATGTCATGCTTAAAAAGTTATCCGTCACTCCAGACTGATGTCAAGAGAGCTCTGGAGCAGGTTTTTTACTCACCGTGTCTCTTTGCATTGAGCAGTCTGCCACTTACTTCTGCTAAAAAACATAGCCATGTAGGGATGATGGTGGCCTGGTGATGAGCAGTGCCTGGTTTCCCTAAGACATGAACCCTGGCATTCACACCAAAGACTTCAATGTTTGACTGATCTGACCAGATGTTTCTCATAGTTGATGGACTGCCATGTGCCTTTTATTAAGGAGGTGCTTTTGTCTGGCCATTCTACCATTAATTGGTGGACTGCTGCAATGAATATTCTTCTGGAAGGTCCTCTCTCTTTACAGAGACTAAGGCCCTTCTGCTTCCTTGCTCAGTTTTGAAAAAAAGCCAGCGCTAGGAGGAGTTTTGGTTGTTCCAAACAGCCATTATGCTCCCTGAGACCCTCGAAACATCTATCTGTATGCATTCCCAGACTTGTTTTTTGCACTCTGACATGCACTGCCAACTGTAGGATCCTACAGTATATAGAAGTGTGTGTGTTGTGATTTTTTTTCAAAGTTGTACTCCAATAATTTGTAATAAAGCTGTAACATAACTAGGATAAATGAAAAATATTAGTGAAAAAAAGTGAATATCTTCCAAATGTACTGAAGTTCGATGGTTGATTCTGCTATGCACTTAAACAAGATGCCAGGATCTTTGGAATAGAAATTGGAAGTACCTTTTAATAGTTGTTTTTTTTTTTTCCTGGAAGTTATTCCTTTCACCTTTTATCAACCTTTATTGGTTTTCCCTGACCGTTTCCACAGCTGAATCAAAAACAGAAGCATAGATGATGAAAGGGTAACCTCTCACCCCACACTAGTGTCTAGCAAGCTCTCCTTTATTGGTGGAAAATGTCAAATACACTTCCATCAAGCTATAAACAACTGAGATTTCCAGCACCATTTCTACTCACACTACGGTTTTTTAGGTTAATAAAAGTTTAATGGAAATATGTTGCTATAACAGATTTTAAAGGGGTGTCCTCGTTATGCTCTTTTGTTTTTTAACCCTTCGGAGGTGAGAACAAAGGACGAGCAGCTGCGCTCAGCATAAAACCAGCAGTTTTTGCCATTATGTTAAAATAATTTCACAGTGTTTTGTGCTGTGAAACTATTTTACAATAAATTCAAATTTGGAGGGAGTTTGTAACATTTTGATTCTACTAGGAGTGGGGAGTCTCCCAAAGGAGCCTTAACTTTACAAGTAGCAGTGCCTTGTCTTCTTAAAATCTCTTATTAAACCACAATTTTATTTTATATTTTGGAATTGTTTCTTAAAGATCTCCTTCACAAGGGGCTGTTCCCCAAAGCTTCAAGGTCAGTGTTCCAACCAAGGCAAAGTTCCTGTTAAAGCACTGACAATATATTGTAAATTTCACATCTATACTTAAAAGCTTTTGTTTGGGATTTCTCCCAAACATCCAGTGTGTACACACAGTCATATTTGATAAATAGGAATCTGGGTTTCAAAGAGACTTGTCACATTAGAAGTACCCCTAAAAAATAACGACCTTTAAGCAGTTATTAAACACTTTTCATCAAACCCATTTTTTTATCTTTTTTTTATTATTATTGATCTGATGTAATGTTTTAATGTTCTTCGAGATGCAATGTAGTTTTATTAGTTGTTAATACAAAATCATCATAAATATTAGTAAAAAGCATTAGACTGAGGGACAAAGAGAAATTGAGCTTTATTTCAATTCATATTGACATTCTGGTTAACAAAAGGAGCCTGATCATTTGAAAGAAAGCTTGAAAAAACATTTCAAGCAGTTGACTGGCTAGATCATCATCAGCAAAATGAGCGACAGCAATGTTATGTCATGTATTTCACAATAGATGCTAAAGGCAAAGCAAGGCAAACTTATTTAAAGGTTCCCTGTTATTCTACATTTGAAAACACAAAATATTAATAATATACCCTCCAGACTATGTTTTTGTAGGAAAATTCTTCTCAGATTAGTCAGACAGCATGTACCAAAACCTCCTCATTCAGCCCTCCTCTGGACGAACTGTTTTGGCTTTCCACGACCCTGTCCTCGCGAAGGCCGCACCCCCCAACAACCCGCAACCATGACAACCACTTAGATTTTTTTGAAGATAGACTAGGCATGGGGAATAATACATAAGATAAAGACTGGAGCTTGACCGATGGGCTGTTAGATACTGCTCTGGACAGCTTGTTTCCCCTGAAGACATCATAATGGGCATGATTTTAGAACAGAGCATTTTGAGCACACATTAGCTAAGAGAGAAAGGCAGTAAGAGAGGGAAAAGTGTTTTTAAAAAAAAATCTATTTATGATCCTCATACAGAGGCTTCAGGACACACTTGAGTGTTACAAAGTCTTTATAAAGTTATTTTTGCATAATATGGAACCTTTAAATAACACATCTGAGTAGCAAGACTATTGAAAGTGCTGTAGATAATAGGAAAACTCACAGAGAACAGTTCATTGCAAGATAAGAAAAAATATATATATACTGTTTGTATGGTTAATCATAAAATGAAAGGAAGTTGAACAACAAACTAATAAATGCCACTCTCAAGAAATCTTTTTTTAATCATGATTTAAAGCAACTTACTGTAAAATCTCAGCACTTTTCAATTTGTTGGGAAATCCTTCCAGATTAGTGTAGCAGAATACTGTAACTAAATTCTGCTTTTCCATGATTGGTTCAGTTAATTACCGAGGCCTCTTAGGTCTTCTGGTTGCGGCCTATTTTGAATTGATACACTGACAAGTCTGTCATTTAAAACACATTAAATATTACAAAATAGATATAAAATTTTATAAAGCAACTTACATTTTTAAAACGCCCCAAATAATGTTATACCAAACCTTTTGTATTACCAACAATGAATGATGTTTGTATTAAGAACAACACTTCAGATTGACTAGTGATGAAGTTACTGAGTATCTTAATGTCACTAGTCAATCTGAACAAATACTTTGGAATAATACAGAAACATCATGACATCATGTAATCCTTACTGATGTTAGGGCTCATTATTCTTTTTTAATGCTTTTTGTAAAGAGCATTTCATATAATCTAGAACAATCCCACCTTCAATGCGTGTGGCAATACTGAAATTGCTAAAAACAATGATTACTTAACCAACTAACTAAAGGCCCTGGAATTAAAGGTTGATATTTCAATGAAGACAATATATAACTGTAAATTAAACTAGAATTTAGTTTGATGCTATTTACACCTTTTCAACTCTGGAGGTTTCCGCTTACAGACAGACGAGAAGTCAGACAGATTGATAAAATGCTCACTATGAAATAACAAAAATGTCTTATCTTTGCTTCCTTTTATTTTGTTATTTTTGCAGGGAGCTCATTGACAGCTGGCAGCCAAGGGACAAGGCAAGGGACAAAACTGTTCAGTAAGCAAACAAATATGCTATCATTAACACTGCTGAATACATTAAGCATATTTATACAGTCCTATGTGTATGTTCATATCATGACTTAACCCCCATTCAACTTGAATTGCAAGTATATGGACAATGAAACCACAGTGAACCCTTAGTACATCGGTAAATTAATTTTATTTTTTTTAATAATCACATGTATTCTAACAGTTTTTTGATCATTGTCATTCAGCTACACATTAAAACTGTGTGCTAATCAATCTTTGATATGACATAAGATTATTATGCCTTTTTTAACCATTTGGGAATGCCCAGATGATAGATTTAGCCTCTTATTGGTCAGTTAACAACCAAAATCAAGTAATCCTTTAGGAAGAAAAGTAGGGATCTTCACAATTCGAGTTAATCCGTAGAGACATTTTCAAGATGCTTAAAGATTCAAACTTAGGTTTTTGAGATACCTGAAGATGCAACATTAGTTTTTTCAATTAGCCTATATACTATAGGAATGTTAAGTGTTTGTCTTGTTATGGAAGCAGCAGCTCTGTGTTGAGGAGAAGAAATTTAGGTACTTAAAAATCCTAAATATATGTGCTAATCCTGGAACAAAGGCATGGGAAGATGGCAAGACACTGTCTTTATCCACACCGAGTACTGTACTGGAACAGCCTCACCGACCAATCAGCAAGGAAGAAGTCAGTACTTAAATCAGGGAATAACATTTCAGCATTTGCAAATGCCCTTTAGACACATATTATTTGGTGTGATGAAAATAGAGGTTTTTTTGTCTGGATATTGCGATCTTTGCTTCATTTACATGAAAAAGGTTAAAGCTTGAAAAGTCTGAGGAAACCATCTCAATTATACACTACAGGGGTGGATGCATCATACTGTGTTTTGTTCCAGGTGTGAGTGATACACTTCACAAAATAAATGTAAAGGAATGTTATAGTATGTGGAAATATTAAGGCAACAACTCAACATCAACCATAACGGTAAAGCTTAGGTATGTGGTGACTGGATCTCCCAAATGTATAATAACCATACAGTTAGATAAGTTATGAAGTGGCATAAAGACAACAATGTTCATGTTTTCAGTAGTTGTTTTCAAAGATGTGTGTCAGGCAACTTGCGAGCTTGATCCAGTTTTGGAAGGAGGAATGGGCCAAAATACCACAAATGAATTGGACAAAATCACCTGAGTAGGCTTGTTGAAAATGAAAAGAAAAATAAAATAAGTAAAAAAGAAAAAAAAATGTTTTCCTGAATTCAAGAGTTTACTTATCAGTCTATTTGTATTTTTGTTTGCCTTACTTGACAATTTCTTCTGTGATTATTACACTATATTTATAGAATTTATATGAATCTAGATATCTAGTTTTAATCTTAAATTGAAAACCATGTCTATTTTTACATACTTTTTTATTGTCACTCTTATGGTCATGTCATTGAGCACCTTAAAATATTGTGGAAAAAAACTGAAAAAAAAACACTTTGGTAAATCATCTGGTTTTTATTTACTAATCCTACTGTCAATCCGTTTGTTGTTTCCATCTTAAACTGTTACTACCGGTAATTGGAATGGTAGGAATTTTGGAAAATTCCCGAAAGAAGAACTGACAAAGGCTACAAACCAAAGAGGTTTTATTATCTTATTTCAAGCCAGTTTTTTTCCAGCTCTCCTACCGTCATGTCTTCATCATCTCTCAATTACTCACTCTGTTAGGATTCTGTGGAATTCATAGGCTGATTATTATTCCCGCCGGTGCTGCAGAGTCTGGCTACTGGGCCCACTCAGTGCCACAAAACACTGAAGTCATGTGTTTACCCTGGCTTTGGCCTGGATAGCATGGAGAACAGTGGTTCAAAACAGGCATAACGTCAGGGTATTCGGGAGTGAGCCACAGCAGCCAGAATAAACAGCCCCAGTAGTGTTGGAGCAGAGGAGTAGGCTCGGCTGGTTGTTTGTGCTATAGTCACTGAATCCTTCACTTACATGTTTAGGAGCTGGAAGTGAATGTCCTGACAGCTTTATATGGCTCTTATGGTACCACTCAGGTACACCGAGCTAGTGAAAGCTGTGGAGAGAGTGAGTTATGAAATAAGTAAAGGAGAGACAGAAAACGTGTGTGGAAGATGATGGAACATATGGCTCCACTCGAAGTTGACTAAGATAGACAACCATTGTGTTCAGGTATGCTTTGCTGCTCTTTAATGGCCTGGATCGCTTTAAGTCGAGCTGCTTTTACTAGGCCATAAATCTTTTCATGTCCTCTCGCAGCCTTTGAGATTCACAGCAGTGTTGTTGCTTATATATTTCCAATTTGCTCTGTGCTTTTTCCCTAAGATTTGCAATCATTTCAGACAGATTATCAGTACCTCCTCCCTCTTCATATACTGGCAACGGCAAAGAAAACAATCTGAATTCTATTAGTTTTAGTGAGGTGCCGGTACAGTAGGAGCTGACTTTAAAGAGACAGTATTCTCTTTAATTTTATCTTATGAACCTTGTAAATAATTAGTACAAACTAAAATGTGCTCATAGCATGTTTTCTGATTTATACAATGAATATTTCTGAAATGAATGTGTGGACTTAAGTAAAAGGCATTGCAACCCTATATTTTGACTTGGCTAAAGTTGGTAGAACTGCAGAACACAAACGGGTCTGTGCCAGAATTATAGTTTATCTTCCAGAACTAATCCGGCACATCCCTGAAACTTTCCCAGAATTAATCAGCTGTTTTCTTGGAACCTTTCTTGAATTTACTTTGTGAAACTTACCAGGTACTTTCCCGGATTTTTTATTGCACTTTCAGAGATGAAGAACCAGAGAAGGCTGTTTATTTTGTTTACCACATTTTAACAATAGGACAATCTTAAATGCTGTGGACTACAACTTTGACTCATAATCATTCAGTTATAGTTTAAATTAGAATAGTCAAAAGCAACTCTAAATAAAAAGAGTTTTAGGATTGATTTAAAGCAGTGATTCTTCAAATGGGTGACGCCTATTTTGCAAAGGGGGCATGGTATATTTGAATTGCATAAAGTATTACATATATATAATTGAATAAATTGAGATATATTACATAATAGAAAATATATACTGACAGTGATGTTGTATTCTATTACACAGTAGATTTAACAAACCGAAAATACTTATATCTTTAAGGTGGTAGTTTTGTTTTTTAAAGGAGATTGTAGTTGACTTGGGGGATATGAGGGATGACTTTTCGTAAACCTAGGGGGGCCCAGTAAGAAAACCTTGGGAACTATTTAAAAGAACTAAAGATTTTAGCACCTTTTGTAGACTTCTCTGAGGTTTTTCAAATATGTTGAACTAAAAACTTTCCTCCATATTTGGTTTTGTTATGTATATGCAGAACATAAGATTTCTAGGTGTTAATACACTGACAAAAAATCTGGCATGTTTTTTTTTTTTTCTAAGCCATTCAGTGATTTATAGATTAAAATAAGTACTTTAACATCTATCGTCTTAGATATGACGAGTTGGTTGATGGACTTATGAGCTGAGGTGATGTGCTCCACTTTCTACATATTGGTGAGGTTGCAGGCAGCACTCTGGAACTGCTGCTGTCTGAATGATTCTTTGATTTTTGTGCAACCCTTGAAGACATCGTTAGAGTAATCAGTTTGACTTAAAATAAAAGCATGGAGGAGTTTTTCAGGGTCCAGCAAGGACATTTATGCTTTAATTCTGGAACTGTTCTTTAGGTGATAAAAGGCAGACATTGTACATGTCCCTCTCATCCTCTGAAAGTTCAGGTATAGGTGGATATTTTCTACAATTTAACATGTAGTTTCCTATAACTTTCAAAAAATCCAACAGCTGGATGTTAATAAATCTGAGTTTACTTTCTGAAACATATGAGGAACTTGTAGAGCTGTCATGGCACTTACCAGATACTTTCACTGAAATTAGAGATCATTTCTGGAACATCAGCCAGGTACCTTGATGGATTTACTGGAAGTTTAGGTACCTGGATCTAGTTCAGTACTTTTTAGGAACTTGGAGGTAAAACTCCGGGAGTTGCCTTTTATTGTGGAGAACCTATCATTTAGTTTCTTGAAACCTCTTGAGAGAAGTAACCAGATGTTATGAAAGTTCATGGAAAGTTCCAGAGATGGCTCAGTAGGCTCCAGGGAATTAACCAAAAGAGTCCATAAAAATGTTACTGAAATACCTGTTAAATCCCAGAAAGTTCTTGGTAAGTTCTGGAAAACATCTTCTAAGTTCTGGAATGCAACCTCTGGAAATGTATTGTCCAGTCATTTTTATATAGATTAGTAAGAACAATCATTTTATGGTGTTTTTTTTATTTATTTATTAGAACTGCTGATTAAATGCTTTGGTCGTAAGGGTTGTGAGTGTCAGCATAAGCTCATAACAATCATTGGACACATCAAAGAAGGTTTCAGTGTGTTTAAGTGTGTTTTGTGTTCTCTCTGGCTCTGTCTGCAAAGTGGAAATAGAAGAATAGTGTTACTAAGTAGGCTTGGGACCTGAGCTGCAAGTCTGTTAGAGAGCCCAGACATGTCCTTTTAGAGCCAGAAAGCTCAGATCAACACATTCAAGGATAAATAGGAGCAGAAGTTGCAGAGAACATTTTAAGATGACAATTTTCTTTCTGAGATAAGTGCCTTAAAAACTAGTCAATTCTTTTTTTCACTAGCTATAATCTTTAGTAGGTTGTTGTCACCGTATACTGATGTTGTACAATTCCCAGCTCTCTAGCCAAGTGTTTTTACTGGCTGCTCCCAGGTGAGTCAGGACGATTTGGTGGTAGGCAGGATCTACTTTCAGGTCTTTTATCACAAGTGGGGCCAATGTGTCCAGGGAGAGGCTTGGTAGCTTTTTGTTGTTAATGGCAGAGATAATATCCTCAGTGACCGGGAAGAGAAGAGAAGGAGAAACAGTCAGAGCTCTGGAGCCTGGTAATTGCAAAGGCAATTCATGGGCACTAATATCACTCGGCCCTGAACAAAAGAG